TGTAAAACAGGAAAATAGAAAAAGCTGCCTCTGCTGAATTTCTGCTTGCAACCTCTGCTTATAAGAAGCCTCTACCTTGTGGTATACTGGGCAATTTAGTGAGAAAAACACTTGAGTAAGTGACCTGAAAAAGCTGTTTGAATAAGGTAAGGTAATCCTGGCTTCTCAGAAGCAGTGGGAGAAACAGCCAAAACACAGAGGAAAGCAACAGGGAGGTGAATTGCACAGGCTGCACTGTGAGTGCAGTGCGAGATGAGGTTGTCCTGGGACTCCAAGCTCCTAATGATGCATCTCACCTGCGCAGCATTCATTCACAAGAGCAGCCTACAGACCCAGTATCTACAGTCTTACCAGAAAAAGAGCAGATGGGTTTTTTTGAAAGTCTCTTTTGCTATAGGAGTGAGAACAAGTAATCAGCATGCTCCTTAGCACCTCTGCTTGAGGAGAACAGCAGCCGCTCTGCCAGGACACCCCGTCACCAGGCCTTGGTGCTGCCATTCTGATGCTCTCTCCTCCAGTCCTCCTGCCGTAAACTTGGGATGCCCTTGGTGGCCCAGCCCCAGTGCAGAGGATGAACTTTTGTAATCTGTCCGTGGCTTTATGTGAAGCAAACAGTGGTGGGCATTTTTCAAATGAGGTAATTTCATCCTCATTTTACCTAAAAGCAAAAGAAAGAAACAAACAAGACTATCACGCATGAAAATAAACACACACTCTGGATATTGGCTTACATCTCCTGCCTCTAAACTGTGGGCAAACCCATAGACAGGTATTTGCTGGCCTGCCAGGATGGGGCTGAATGGAGATTTTCCAGACACCAGTCCCAAAGTGTTTTCAGGACTGATCCCTCCCTCACTCACAGGACTAATTAACAAACATGTCTGTGCTTTGATAGTTCATGGGAGAGTGCATTGCATTAACAGTGATATCATTACAAAGAGGTGTGTTACTATCTCCTTTTTGTTTCATCTTGATTACCTCCAATCAAGATCCAGCTGAAAACATACAATGCGCATTACCCCAGCATCTGGGGCGTCTGCTGCCCTCTGCTTCTTTCAAAGGACACTGATAAGGACAGGCTGACACTTAAGGAAAGAGAATTTTACAGAGACAATCATGTTGCTGATAAAGACTGAGGGGAAGAAGGGAAAGAATTTTTATTTATTTGTTGTTTTTTAAGAAGAGGTTGAGACACTAAAGAGCCTTAGGACATTGTGTATTGACCTGGTGGGTGGAAGAGAAAAAAACAGAGAAAACATTAAGAAATTCCACTGATTCTACTCAAAGCAACCACCCAGCCTTCAGACAACTTTGCCTTTTGTTTGTGTTCATTTTCACCCTGCCTGAAGGGCCATCAGCAGACAACCTTTGTCACATGAGGAGAGATTAGCGGAAAGGTTGGGAGCGGGTCCGGGCAGCCGGAGGGCAGCAGCTGAGGAAGTGGACTTGTACCTCGGGATCCCGAAGCGCGCGGGCCGCAGCCGTAAACAGCCACCTCAGGGTTGCTGAGTTTGTTTGGGGCCGTCTGCAGGGAACAAAATTCTCCCGGCGGCCACGTGAAGAGGGCACCTTACAGCCGGAGCTGAAACACGCTGACGTTTCCATGCTAGCCGTTCTGATAGCGTTGGGAAACATGTGCCTGTTGATTCCTGCCTAAAAGCAAATACAGAACGCTAGCCAGTTAGCTGAGTCTCAGTTATCTAAATTATTTATTAAAGAATATCTCTACCTGTCAGGCTTTGCTTGGAAGTTTTTTAGAAGTTATTTTAATGTTTCAGTCCTGTTTAGACAAACCAGACAACTGAAAGCTTGGACACTTGGTCCAAGAAACCAAAACACTGTTCTTGCTAGGGAAGAAATAATAATTTTAAAAATATTTTGCGTATGTACTGATAGTTGCCACTGCACATACAGTCAAAAACAGTCACAAAATAAATTTTCATAGGCAAATGATGTACTCGTAACATGTTGTTTCTTTCCTTCTGCCTGTCTCTATTGAAGTATTTGGGGATTAAACTTCTAAAACGAGACTAGGAATGTATTTCTGAAGCGGAGTGTCAGGACAGGGCCTGTGTACAGAAGCCTGGAGCAGAGAAGCCTTCTAGAAGAGATGACAGCTAGAGAAAGCAAAGGTAAATGGCCATGGTGTGGAGGAGGGATGGATGCATCAGAGCACAACTCCCGCTCCCTTGATAGCCTAGCTGCTGCAGGCCTGGCCACCTGAAGACAGCCAAAGAAACCCACATTGTTCTCTTTTAAGCACAACATGTTTTTGAACAGGTATTTTTGTTTAGTCGAACACCAAACTCTCCATAAAAGCTAACCAGAGAAAGAGGAGTCACGCAGAGCTGCGTTCAGATTGCAGTGTGTGCTCAGCTGTCTGCCTTTCATGCTAATAGGAGGTGTTTGGGACTGTTATCATGGGGCAGGAGAGCAGAAGACAACCTAGGCATGGGGCATGGGGTCAAGCCCTGAAAAGGTCAGATGTTTGCATTAAATCACAGGTATTGTAAATAACGGGTTTGTTGCAATCCAATGTGCAAAATAGCTTACTTGCCTGATGCCTGAATCTCTCTGACTGGTGATACTGATGGGGAGGGAGGTATCTGTTAAAAAAGCAGATATTATGAAATGTGTCTCGGCAACGCCGCACCGCGCAGCCTGGCCATGTGCGAGCAGAGCTGCAAGCTGGCACGGGCTCCCTGTGCTAGAGCAGCACAACTGCGGGTCTAAACACCACCCAGGGCCAGAGCAGGGTGAGACTTGCCCCTGGGCTGAGCGCTGGGGCTGAGGACACCGCTGGGTGCCAGACACCCAGCTAAAGTGTCCCTGGGCCAGCACTGGCCGCTCTTCGCGCTCCATCACAGAATCATGGAGTCACTGGAGCTGGAAGGGACCATCTCGTCCAGCCCCGCTGGCCAAGCAGGGGCACCTTCATTGAGCGCATTGCCATGGACTCTGTCCAGACACATCTCCAAGGATGGAGACCCTACTGCCTCCGTGGGCACTGTGCCAGAGACAACTGCCCTCACAGTGGAGGAGTTTTCTTGTGCTCATCTGGATCCTTGTGTTTGTGCCTCTTGTCTCTCGTCCCATCACTGGGTGCTGTTGAGAAGAGACTGGGCATGGCTTCCCTTTCACTGCCTCCCATCGAGAATTTACACCCCTTGATAAAATAACTTCTACTTCTAAATAACTTCTCCAGGCTGAACAATCCCAGCTCTCTCAGTTTCCCCTTGATGAGAAATGCTCCAGTTCTGCAGAGATCTGCATGGCCCTTCACTGCACTCACTCCAGTATATCCATGTTTTCCTTATGCTTGGGAAGCCCAGAACTGCACTCTTAAGTGCAGCTCGACCAGTGCTGAGTAGAGGGGAAGGATCACCTACCTTGACCTGGGCTGTTCCTAGTGGAGCTCAGGATACTGCTGGCCTTTGTTTTTTTTCTTTTGGGCACAAGGGCTCATGTCCAGCCCGTCCTCCAGGTCCTTCTCTGTAAAATTGCTCTATATCATGGCATTATTTCGCCCCATGGGCAGGACTTTGCACTTCCTGCTGCTGAATAATAGCCCTCTCTGAACCTTTCTCCAGCCCCTGAGGTGCCCCTGAACTGCACTGCAACCCTCAGGTGTTTCAAACAGTAACTAAACACTTGCAGCCTCATTTCCCATCCAGAGAAGTGTCCAAGAGTGCAAACACATCTTCATTAGCACCATGAGGAACGGGAACAGAAGGTCACTCCTTCTCCCATAATGTCCTGAAGTTATGCGGTATCTGGGATGCTCCAAGGAGCTGGAGAATCAAAAAGGGAAAGGCCAAAAGAAATTCTGCTCTACAGATAGTGCAGATAGAACTGAGTTAGGCAGATCCTCGGTGATCAGCGCAGTCCTGGAAAGACCTGCTGTAGTACCAGACATAAAAATATTTGAAATGGTTGTGTAAATCTGACAGTTATTACCAGCACCGCGGTGTTCAAAAGGCTGGATATGCTCCAACTCATATCCGCAACTGTCAAGGCAATGCATATTGTTCTGATTTATATTTTTTACTTATTGCAGCTCAGAAGTAAGTCCCTTTGCATTTATTTGCATCAGCAGAAGTAGGGGAAAAAAAAAAAAGAACACATAATTATTTACCAAGGCAAACATCTCTATTGCAGGTACTAGACTGAGCTATCCAAGAGTCATTCATGTGATCTTGCTGGCTATAACAGGTTTATTTCAGACACTGGCCACTTTGCCTGTTTTCCTGTTTGTAGAACAAGAGCGAGCCACGTGAGTCACTACTGCTTTTACCCATTCAGCACACGCACTCATTCTTCCCTATTACTTGATTTTCGTGGAAAAAAAAAAGGTGTTTGGTTGTTTTGAATGTGTCCTCTTCTTTTGCAAGTATCTTTTGTTTAATCTTCCCTCACATGATCCAGTAATGAAGCCCAGCCTGTAACTCTTAAGTTTAAAAATAATTCCTCTCATCACTCATAATCTTTAACCTGATAGTGGGCAATGCTTTCCAGCATGTCAGCTTGCCCTTTAGACACCACTGCTCCAGGAACAACAGAAGACACAACAACAGATTTTCTTCCACACTCTGCAGCTGTTTACTAGAGCTTGCAGAGGCACAAAGATTATGCTGAAGCACTTAAAGGTTTCTGCTTTTCTATTCTTTATTACCGGTTCCCTTTCAAAACAGTAATGGTAGACTGTTTAAATCCAAGTGGGATTTCTGAAATATTAACTAGTATGTAAAATACTCCTCAAGGTTTTGATGGAACTCAGTTAAAATGCCTTCACTGTAACTTCTAGAATAGAAATGGGAAGCTAGAAAGTGGTTTTACTCAGATCAGCTTTATAATGAAGACAGGACTTGCAGCTAACTTCCAACTTTTTACAGAAAAAATGTAATTCAAGAGAATCAAGACAACAACTTGTGCATGAAATTTGCCAGGAAATATTCTTTTTAATAGGAGAACAAGAGAACATTATTTCGTTAAATATTAAGAGAAAGCAGTCAATACAATGTGGAAACTATTCTACACGGATGATCTTATACATCAGCTATTTTAACATGATACTTCCTCACATCCTCCTACTATTGCTCCTGTGTTAGTTAGCTTTCAGTATCATAAACCACGCAGAGCTCAGAAATGACTGTCAGGCAGATACCAAGAGGAGACCCCGCATAAAGACTGAAGCCTCAATCTAAGTGATGTTTGAAATATCAAGTGCGAGCTATACCATGACCAAAGCTGCAAGAATGATTACAAGTGTGACTCAATATTTAGTAACTCTAAAAATATACAAGGTAAAATAAAAAGAAATCAAAACAACTCTTTTTTTTTTCCAAAAAGGCAAAAATTACTTCAGCCAAACAAACGAGACCTTGCAGGAAAATGACCCAGCTTTGGGAAATCCCAACAAAGCAGACACAGCACGACTAGCTGCCTGTCTTGCTTGCAGGGCAAGGGATCCCTTGCATCATTTCCCAGTTCCTGTGATCAGGTTAGATATTGAGATGTAGATTGAGTTGCCTTTGCCATGTGACAAGCCAGCAGAGAGGCTGGAATGCAGTTTCTTATCTTGCACTAGAGTGAGGAAATGATGGTTCTTGGGAGATCACAAGACTGCTGAAAACAAAAGATGTTTAAGAGGGGTCGTGTCTCTGCTCACCAGCCATTTCTGAGATCTTCAAAAAAATTGCAGAACCCCATCTATGCTGCAGATGTTGGTCCATTTTCTAACCTAAAAAAAGATGTAGCTGATTTCATTATGAGTACTCCAGCTTAAACACATTTGAATTTGATTTCTTACCAGGAAGAGTCAAAACAAAGAATCTCAAATCAGTATTTATAAAAACTGCTGATGCCAAAGGGACATTATAAACTGCAAAGAAACCTCAGATCTTTGTGGAAAAAGGTCTCTGTCAGCAGGAAGGGTGATTGCTTTTCACCCAGCCATAGAAAGACAGGTACTGTGAGAACCTCTTTTTACCACGGAGATAAAAACTATCTGCATTTTTTAAAAACATTTTTGTTTCTGAAACTGAAATTAAAAATATGTATTAAATATAGCAGCATTTCTTCCTTTAAGATGATATTTAGGTATCCTTTTTATAATTATTGCCTTACATCCACCCAACATTCTGAAAAACAAATCGGTGTTGGAAATATTCTGTACTTGTTTTCTTTAAGAAGAATCCTTACTGCAAAATGTAAGAAAAACACGATTACTTTTGAAAAGGAAGTTGACTTGGTTCTTGAAAGTTCCATTTTCCTACACACAAACATGACAAAGAACCAAAGTGGCTTTAAAAATACGTTATCAGCTTTTGGTTGACTGAGTATATAGCTGTGACTAGGAAATAATTTTCCTGTTTTTGTGGTAACATCAAATAAAAATTGATCAAAAGCTTGCAGTGAAATATGCACTTGAGGTTAGGTAATACTGTAAGATATCTCTTGATTATTGCCTGCCTGCTGTACAAGTCCACTTTAAAAGCAGAGTTTAGTAAGTTAGAACAATAAAAAACAGATTTAAGTCAGATGAATATTACCTAGTGTGGAAAAAAAATCATGTTCACAGTCACCACTTTTTAAGCCAGCGAGATCAGTTTATGCATTCCGTAAATCTTGAATATAATCTTTATATTAATACAAAATCCATCTTTGCCTAGCTCAGGGGGCCTTTTGTCTCTATGAAGCAGATAAAAGAGAATAATCCTTTTTTTTTCTTTCAGTCAGGCTCATGGCACACAGTTGCCTTGGCCAGCTGGTTTATGGGTCTGCTTGTGTGCACGCTCCTACCAGAGTCACTGTACGACCTGGCTGCTTCTTCTGGCACAGCACAGATTTTCTGACACATTGCCAGTCTCGCTGCTGCTTTGCAAGTTAACTACCATTACCAAGGAGTTCCGCTTTTAGGATTTCTGTATCGTTTTCTTGAAGAAACAGGCCCTTTCCTCTGTACAGTAGTACCAAGACAAAGATGAGGAAGAAAGACTTAAAGCATGAAACAAGTTGCTGCAATTCTGTATTCGAACAACCAAGGTGGTTGCTGAGGGAGACCTGTGGGAACAGTGACAGCTGAATTGCATGAAGCCCCGCGCTGAGTGCACCCCACCAGCTGCACAGGCAACACACCACTGTGTTAGCCCTAGCGCCTCTTGAGAAACACATAGCCTCAGACATCGCAAAACTTGAAGGTCCAGATAGCTACCGGGTGGTTGTTAGTCAGCAGAGGCAGGCTATCTTTTAGCTTTTGCAATGGAAGCATGACCAGTTCATTTAAAAAAAAAAAAAAAAAAGTGTTGTGGTTTCTTAGAAAAGTGATGTTATTTGCATATTTAGAGTCCTCAGTACCACTGTTTAAAGTAACATGGAAAGATTTAATATGAAAGATCTGAAGCAAGAACAAGGGTCTTCTTTCTTCAAAATTTTCATCTTTCTGCTTATTACAGAAAGGATTCTGACTACCGTGATCAGTAAGGCTGTCCAGGTTTCTTCTGACCTGACATAGCATGGCATGGGTTGAGGTTTAAAGATGAGGTTTAAAGCTCCCATTTTCACCTTAGCTCTCTGCTAGCATGGAATGGGTGCTTTACACACAGGACTCTCACGTTGCTGTTATGGTTCCCACAGAGATGCTTGAAGACTCGTGGTGATGGCTTCATCAGGTATGGTGCCAAGAAGTAGCACAGATTTCAGCAGTATCCTTATGTTCAATACCTCCAACCCGTGTTGATGACAAGTCATACAAATCTCAGACAGGACTTGTTTGCACAGGGGTTGAGGTGGTCCTAGGCCGGTGTCCTACCATAAGCTACTGAAAGGCCCTTTTATGAAGACAGGTTGGGACCTTAGCCCCTGCCATGCTGATTCTTATGTGTATGCCTGTTTTGGACCTGAGCTCCAATGTTTCCTGTGTCTCTGCTTCCTACGAGATTTGGAACCTTGGAATTAGTATAATTAGACATCTTGATGAGTAAATGTGCCATTGGGATGTATAACTACGAAAGGAGGGATGACTTGGGGCATAGCAAAAGTAGAGAGACATAATTTAGCAGTACGACAACAGTGAAACCCAAAGACAGGAGAGAGAGAGACAGATTATCCAGTTCCTAGAAATCAGTCTTTGAGGAAAGGGAGAACGCACTAGGGGAATGGAGCTGCAGGACATACCGAAATACCTGGGGACATGATACATCCGCACAACAGCCCTCACTCAGAGCAAACTAAAAGCTAACATGCTGAAGGTGAAAATATTCCCACTCCTCCAAGAACTGCAGTAACTTTTCAGTTGAGATTTACTCATGTAGGGCAGCTACACAGGCTTACAGTGTGAACTCAGAAGTGAAAATGACACCTGGCATTTGTGTGTGTGCACATGAGCCCTGTGAGGCTCCACGGGCAGTGGCAGCACAGTACAGCTAGTGGCACACTGTGGTGTCGCATGCCAGCTGATGACACCCCAGCTTCTCCAGAGACAGGACCTCATACCATCTGGACCGTATCCGTCTGCCCTTCTGCATCTTAGAACGCACTGCAGGGCAGAAACATGTGATTTACGGTGCAAGACTTCTTGTAGTTTTTGAAGTTGCCCCCTGTCACAGCAGCTAAACATCCTTCAAAAGCAGCCTATCCATGTATAGTTCATTTGAGAATGTAGTTGAAGCTTTTGAATGCAAAATTATATCAGATATAGGTGTGGAAATACTTAAGTCTGTAGAATAGCTTACATAAATGAGACTGAGATGTCCCATTGCACAGAAGATATCAGAAAAAGCTGTGAGGGAAAAGCTTTTCAAATGCCACACAATTAATAAAAAATATGCCAGCTCCACTATTAGGTAGTTGCTCTATACAAATTTTATCTTAATCTCATGAATGTGAATTGCATGTGAATTGTAGTGAAAAGCTTCTTGGAGAGATACAGTGCATGAAAAGAAGGAAACAGAACATTTTCCATGGAAAATGCTAGCCCAAAACTTGCTTGACAATAGAAGCTGTTCTGTTAAACAAAAAGCCCATAGATATCTGGGCTAATTTTTCATTCTGTACACACTATTATTATATCTTCTGCAAATGTATAGTGTCCATTGTTGCTGTATATTGCCACTCTTCTTCCTTTTATTCTTTTCCCCTTAACAAAATTCCCATTTTCCTGCTGAAAGCGACATGTCTGCTTATGTATAACCATCCTGACACACCGTTTGTGAGTGTACATTTCCAAGCTTGTAGTGAAGCAAGCAGCTTAGCTTTAAAACACCTTGTTTTGTTGGCAATTTCAGAGGACTAATCAAGAAAGACCACTGCTAGGTGTGCACTTACATGTTTTTTTGTGAAAACAGCATTCAGCAGTATTCAGCAGCATGAAGAGCCTCATTCAGCGGCATGACACTCAAATCAGCACTTTCAAGAGAAAAGACACCTTCTCCACATGTATTTGACTCTGGGGTGCTTCTTTGGCTAAAGACTCTGCTCTTGCAATAATCTGTGTATGGAAACATGCTTGTTTTAATGACACACTTGTCTTAAGACATCAAGAAAAGCAGAGAAGCACACATCATATGACTGTTCCTTACTGCTGTTGTGCAACAGTGTATAAACACATTTTTTACATAAACATGTACTTTCAAGCGTTAAAGGAGTTTTTTGGAGGAACCTCTTGCTGCTCTCCTGCTGCCAGAGGAAGGCTTGCTGTTTAAAACAAGCATCTGTCCCCTCCTGGATAGATGTGCACTTGTCTACGAGCAGCAAATTGGTTAAACCTACTACTTCACCTGTGCAGCACCTCTGCTGCTTTGCAGTAGACATTGCTGGACACTGCACATGTGGAACACTGGCCAAACCGTGCTGAAATACCTGACCCGCCAGATCCAGGCTCACAGGCTGCAAAAGAATGGTTTTCATACACACATTTTTGAAATAATACATGTTTTCCTGGGAAGGTTTCTTGCACCAGGGCTGCTACAAGATCCCAACCAAGCACCGAGCTGCGTCCCCAGCAGGTCTGATCAAGGCCAAGTAACAAGAGGCCCTTCCTCCAGGCCTGCTTCTTTTACTCCCCCAATCTCGTTTTTTTTTTTCCTTTTATCCTTCAGATATTTTTCTCCTTTTCCTTTTCTTCAGTTTTCAGATTCTTTTCTCATTTTCCTCACATTTTTCCCTTTTTTTCCCTTTTCCTTCCTTTTTTTCCCATTTTCCTTAGATTTTTCCCCTTTTCTTCATTTTTCCTTCAGATTTTTTCTCACTTCCCCTTCAGATTTTTCATTTTTCTCATTTTGAGTTTTCCTTCACATTTTTCATTTACCTCAGATTCCCCCTTTTCCCTCATTTTTTTCCCTTTTTTCCTTCGTATTTCCCCATTTTTCTCAGATTTTCCCCTTTCCCTGCACATTTCCCCCCTTTTCTTTCACGTTACCCCCCACCCCGCTCTTTCCCCCAGATTATTTTCCCTGCTTTTCCCTCACATTTCCCTCTCCCTCCCCTTCATATATTCCCCTTACATCCCGCCATTCCAAGAGCGGAAGCAAAGCAGCCGCCAACGCGCCCCTTCTCCCCGGGGGTTCTCGCACTGCCCCCCGCGCTCGTCAGCACTCGCAGCCAACAGCGGGACCCGCCGGCCGCGCGGCCGGGGCCCGGACCCGGTGTCCTGGCCCGGGGCCTGAGGCCGGCCGGGCGGCGCAGCCTCCGTGCGCAGCGGGGCCGGGCCGGGCCAGGCCGCGGCAGGCCGGGCCATGGCGCAGTGGGCGAGGCGGGGCGGGCGGACGGCGGGCGGGTATAAAGGGGCGGCGCGGGCGGGCGCAGCGCGGGGATGAGGTGAGTGTGGCGGCGGTAATGGGGGCTGTGGGGCCGGGAGGGCGGCGGGGAGGCCCGGCCCGGCCCGGCCCGGCGCCGCCATGGGCGCGGGGCGGGCGGCGCGCTCCGCTCCGCTCCGCTCCGCTCCGCCGCTGATGGTTGCGTGCGTGCCTTTGGGCCGCCGCTTGTGCGCAGGGCCGTCGGCATGATCGCGGCGCTGGGCGTGCTGAGCGTGTGCGTGGCGCTGTGCGGCGCCGCGCCCCGCCGCGGCCCCGACCCCGAGCTGGACGGGCACTGGCGCCTCTGGAAGTCGTGGCACAAGAGGGACTACCACGAGGTGAGCGCCCTGCCGCCCGCGCCGCCGCGCGCGGCCCCCCGGCCCCTGCCCAACGCGCTGTGCTCTGGCCCCGCAGCGGGAGGAGAGCTGGAGGAGAGCCGTGTGGGAGAAGAACCTGAAGATGATCGAGCTGCACAACCTGGACCACTCGCTGGGGAAGCACAGCTACAAGCTGGGCATGAACCAGTTCGGGGACATGGTACGTGGGGAGGGAGGCTGGAGCGCGGCGGCACCAGCGGCACGCGCGGCCCTCACGTGTCCTGTCCTCCCCAGACCACCGAGGAGTTCCGGCAGCTCATGAACGGCTACGTGCACAACAAGGCGGCGCGGAAGCACAGGGGATCCCTGTTCCTGGAGCCCAGCTTCCTGGAGGCGCCGAGATCCGTGGACTGGAGAGAGAAGGGATACGTAACTCCGGTTAAGGACCAGGTAACGTGCGGTGCTGGGCCTCACGCCCCTTCTCGTTCCCTGGATGCTGCCCCCATTTCCCTGGAGCAAAAGCGCTGGGGCCTTGTTTACTGAAGACTAGCGTGAGCTCAGCAAATGCAGTGCCAACTCCAGTAGATGTACGTATTCTTATACAAACATCTAGGAGTGACTCTGCACTAGATATCTAAAAGCTGTACAGACCTAAGTGGCATCAGTTTCACATGCCTTGTGCATGAAATAAGGTTGCACTTGGCGTGTGCCTCTTTCCTGTTTGGATTGTGGTGGGTGCTGTGAACCTGCCCCGTGTACGTGCGTGGTAACTTGTGGCTTCCCTTGCTGCCGCAGGGTCAGTGCGGCTCGTGCTGGGCCTTCAGCACGACAGGAGCCCTTGAAGGGCAGCACTTCAGGAAGACTGGCAGGCTCGTTTCTTTGAGCGAGCAGAACCTGGTGGACTGTTCCCGCCCTGAAGGGAATCAGGGCTGCAATGGTGGTCTCATGGACCAGGCTTTCCAGTACGTGCAGGACAATGGGGGAATTGATTCGGAGGAAGCTTACCCATACACTGCAAAGGTGAGTGTAAACCCTGGGCTTGCACTGCCGGTGACACATGCTTGGTGTGGACAAACTTGTTTGGGTGTCAGGAAACTCATACCTAGAAAGGAAAATGTCTGCCTAAGTAGTCATCACTCTGTCTGCTCTTCCTGTTGCATCTCTTTGCCCCCTGCCAAAAAAAAAAAAAAAAGATTGCTAGCCCCAGGTTCAGTAGGAACTGCCACCAGCCTCTGAGGTGACAATCTTACCAGACCAGTTGGAAAACTAGAGCAAATATTTTTATCCCTTCTCCTTACTGCTGCTGACCTATCAGACCTCAGGTCTTACCTTGATTGACACAGTAAGCCAAAACCCAGAACTTGTCAGAACTCCTGTTTAATTTTAGGGATGCACTTCTGCGTGTAACTTAAAGCTGTTATGGGGTGCAACCCTTACATACCAGCTAATTCCTTTATTTGGCATTACAGTGGCAGGTAGCTGCCTGTGTTTTTGCCTTCGGAATGAAGTGTGTGGAAAGGCTGGAGGTGGTCAAACTTCTGGAATGGTTCCAACCATCTACCAAAGCTTAAATGGGTTTTAGAGGAAGAAAGAGCAAGAATAAATGGTTATAACATGCTCAGGAGCCTAAGACGTAGACATCCACAATGTGAAGTTCTGCGCATTAAAGATATTGAGGTTGGATATCCCAGATAGCCAAGCTGATTGAAGTGTTCAGCTTGCTGATTACAAACAGTGAGCAACAGGAGTGGTGTTTCTTTAATTGGCCCTCAGTATGTGAGGGGAAAGGCAGCTCCACCTCTTGTCATCACACAAGGAAGGCAGGGATATGCAGACTGTCATTTGTTTTGACTTTAAAATATGCTGATTTCCCAACTAAAGCTCCTGCCAAAGGGTTGCTTGTGGCACAAACAGTTCAGTTTTTCTGTGTGTGTGTGTGTGTGTGTGTGTGTGTGTGTGTGTGTGTAAAAAGGTGATATTGCAAAGAAGAATCCTGAAATCAAAAAAAGTATATAAATCCATGTAATAACCAAATGACTAATTTTCAGGCTATTCTGAGCCATTCCCCAAACTCCTTGACAGGCTGTAAAATTGTGGGTTTTAAGTGCTTGCATGTTGTGCTGTTTCTGGACTGGTTTGTAGCTAATGAATGCCTGGCTCTGCTCCACTGCCCATTAATGCATTCTGGGCTTCTTTCCTCTTTGAAAAGAGACTTGTCCTGCCCATCAAAGTGCAGGGTTTCTGAATGTGAAGGCCTTTTGCATCCCAGTAAAGCTTTACTTGGTAAGGGGGAGGGGTGCTGTTGTCTTTGTTTTCCACCCCTCTCTGCTTTTTTTGACTGAGGAAACTGGAGAGCAGCTTCTTGCTTTTGTTCTGATCTTCTCCTTTAAACAGATTACTGGAATGACTAGGTGCCTTTTCAAGGCAGTGAAGTTGCAGGTGTGGATCCTATGCTTACCTATATGTGTTTCTGCATGGATTATGTAGTAATGAGGGATTTATTTTTTCCTTAGGATGATGAAGACTGTCGTTACAAGGCAGAGTACAACGCAGCAAACGACACTGGCTTTGTGGACATTCCTCAGGGACATGAAAGAGCTCTCATGAAAGCAGTAGCCTCTGTGGGGCCAGTGTCTGTCGCTATTGATGCAGGCCACTCTTCATTCCAGTTTTATCAGTCAGGTGGGGATTTGTTAGCAGCTTGCATACAAAGAAGTCTTTGCTACTTGCTTAACAAAGTATTAATTACCCTTGAATTCCTTTAGAGGAAGGTGGGGAGCCATGGCCTTGTGACATAGCACACAAGCATGATTCCTTTTAATTTGGGTCTATGTTCTTCACACCACTAATGTATATGGGTCCTTGTCTCAGTTTGTTCTGTGACCCAGTTCACTTGGAACCTCTCTGTGACTATCTCAGGAAGGTGTGCAAGATCTGGCTTGCAATGCATGTACTCAGATCTGAGGGAGGAGAGGATCTCATCTCGCACAGGAGTTTGTTGACACGTGGGGATTGTTTCTTACCTTTACCAACTTCTCTCCTCAGGTATCTACTATGAACCAGAGTGTAGCAGTGAAGACCTGGACCATGGTGTTCTGGTTGTAGGCTATGGCTTTGAAGGGGAAGATGTAGATGGCAAGAAATACTGGATTGTTAAGAACAGGTAGGATCTTCCTCTGTCAAGTCCCCTCAGGGTGGATGAAGAAAAAGTTGCTTGTTTCTTCCTGTTTTGTGAGCTTTGTGAGGGCAGGAAGGAGAGTAGTTGATAACACACGTGGAAAACTTGGACACTGTTCTCAGTGTGTTTGATGGTACAAGTCACACAACTTGTGCTGCTGGTTGCCTAATAAGTGGGTCCCAGGCAGCAAACTCATTCCTCCGCATTTTGAGCTAATTCAGAGGAACTCAGTACTGGAACAGCCCAAGCAGCTGTTATTGATGGGGGTGAGCAGAGTGAGGCTGTGGAGGGGAGGGAGAATGGACCTGGGGAAAGGAAAATGTTGCTCACTTGTGTGAAGTAATGTTTAAACCTTTAATATGGAGTTAGACTCCTCCTGAGCCAGAGGGAAAGCAGTAAATGAATGCCAAAGGGCACATCACATGAGTGTGTCTTCTGTTCCCAGCATTAATGAGGCACCACTCAAATGCCGCTTGCAGACCAGGTTCTGAAAAGTTGATGGGGATCTTTGGAGACCTGTAATCCTGGGTGGTAGTGTGAAGGCTTCCCTTCCACCTAGTGAGAGGAAGAGCCAGGGAGATGCGAACGTGGGCTCTGGGTGCCTCTCCTGTAGTACCTGGGTTTCTTCAAAACCCTCTTGTGGAATGTTTCTGTCTTGTTTTTCCACCATGAATGCAGCACTTCTCAGTTTAAACACCGTTTGTTTGTTTCTTTGTTTTGTGATAAATGTCTTTGTGGAAATGAAAACAAACCCTTTACTTCTATTTTCAGCTGGGGTGAGAAGTGGGGTGACAAAGGATATATCTACATGGCAAAAGACAGGAAGAATCACTGTGGGATAGCAACAGCTGCTAGCTATCCACTTGTATAACTTGAAGACTGAACATTTCAGTGCAAGAGTGGTTTTAAACTAAACGACCAAACCCATGTTTGCACATGCGGTAGACTTATCCTTTGAAGGTCAACTTGATATACTTTTTTTACTTTTGAGTTTTACCTGTTGGTGACATGCCACTTGTTTTAAATTAATGTAAATGTTGGTATGTAAACAGCTTGTAATATTGCTGGCTTTTGACTGCTTAATCTAATAGATTCTGCTATGTATTTTTTCCTTTTTTTAAATTGCAATGTGCCCAAAGGTTTACTTTTTAAATAAACACTTGAATTTCACTGTGTACAGACAACTTGGCTTTTTGGTCCTTTTTTTCTACAGCAAATAGAGTATAGGAGATATCATATATTGCTTGATTAACTGAACCTTACATAACTTCATTATAAAAATGCAACTGTTAACAGCTAACAGCTGTTAGCCATAATGGAATACAGTCTGACAACAACAAATTATTAAAGTTAATGTGACTGAGAAATAGAACCTTTCTTTTTAATCTTTTTTAATTTTTTTCCTCCCCCTCCTCCTCCCCCAAATACTTACTGAGATGTGTCTGCAAGTGAATAGGGCTTAGTCCTGTGATCCAGCAAAGACACCAGTATTTCTGGTTCTGTGTATCACAAAGACTTCATTATTTTCATGTCCTGTAGTGTAGGGTTTAATAACCAGTTCTTCACTTAACTGTAGTGCTGTGACTTCCAACATTCTCCCCAAACATTTCTTTTTCTCTCATTTGTCCTAAAGTACCAGACCCCTTCATTGAGGGCAATGGATCCTTTTGGGCTTTCCACAGCTCAGCCAATGCACAATTTGTATCTATGAAGAGATTCTGAGCATCAAAACCCCTTGTTTCAAAGTCTACATCCAAAAGAACACTCAGACTAAAACTTCCCTTCATTGTGAGGGGAAAAAAACCTTAAAATCCTAAATTCTTCTAGAAAGGGAGGGGAATATTTGTGATCACTATTGTACTACAGCTTAATTACTGTTCAGCTACTCCCCCATGAACTATAGATGAAACTTTCCAGTCTGAATCTACTTTTATCCCTTGAAAAAGGGGGTTTCATGATGTAAAAGCCTCAGGCCTGAACCTACAGTGAAGAAATACTAGTTAGAATTTATCTATTCAGCTAACTGGTGAAGCCTGTTAGGTAAAGCATCTATACTGACTCCTAGAAACTATGGATGGAAAAAATGACAAAGGTGCTCACCCGGTGGTTCCCTAAAGGATGACTTCCACTAGGAAGTAGCATTTGTCTGTGCTTTCAAAACGGGGAGCAAAACTCTTTGCTAGGGCAGTCCATGGGTAAGCTCCTTAAGTAGTTACTGCATTCCTTTCTGTTTTGCCCAGAAAGGTTTGTGTGTACTGAGTCCAACAAGATTGACAGAATATCCAGTGCGGTGTTAGCCTGATAGAAAGCCTGCGAGGACTTCAACGGGTGGAAAAATACGGGCATAGGGAGAAAAGTGGTTGTGGGGATTATTGATTTTTTTGTTGTTCTTTTTCTAAAGGCAAGGTTAATAAAAGTTGCTGAGAAAATAAATTGTTAATAAAAGAATGGGAAATTAAATAACATTTCAAATAATATGTACACAAATGAGAAAGTAGCTCACAGGAGAGGTATCAATTTATTATTCTTTTTTAGACCAGCTTTTCGTATGCATTAAACTTGCTGACTCTTCAGATTGAGTCTCCTCTCTTCTGAGTGGAACAAACACAAATAGGAGATAGGATAAATCAGGACATGCAGGTAACTAAATATTTGTATTTAATGTTTGTAAGTATTTGGTCGTCTTAAGTAACAACTTGAGTAAAGACTGCAGGTTGTTAAACACACCAGTAAAAGTTTAAATCCTGTTACACTTACAGAATTCCAATACATGTGTGCATTATTTATATAATTCCATTGCAGTTGCCCTGACTTCTGAGGAGCTGTTTACTTACTTTAGAAGTGAAGTATCTGTTAATTTCGCAGTGGTATATGTTCCACTGGGGACAGTGTCCTCTCTTTTGTTGCCTGCTCCTGCCTAAAGATGCTGCAAATTAAAATTTTACAGATATGCACACAGAAAATTACACACTTGTTCCCAAAGGCTGTGAGCAATTAAAGCCCTTGATGTCTGTATTTCTGGATTAAAATACTTGGTTTTTATTACCCGTTGAAAGGTTGTATTTATTATTAGAAATAATTGTTTTTAAGAATTCTAGCACACATGCACTAGCAGTAAAATATCCAGCTTACGACCTGTCTAGATTGCAGTAACTGAGCATAATGAAGTCTTATTTTCAAACCTTTCTAAATACGTGATTTGGCCATTCTGTGACAGGCTTAGTAGGTGACAGTTGTGTACATGCTTAAGCTGTGTGGTCATGGCTTGCTTTCATCTTCATTGTGAAAATGAGCTATTGTAATTAAGTTTGGCAAGAAAAGAGGTTTTGCATGTGGTTTCTGTGCACTGCGTTGCTTTTGTAGATAAAGCTGCTCCTAAAAGTCCCAGGAGAATAGCAGTTTCTCCCATTTGTCTGGTGAAAGACTGTGTTATTTTTAGAAAGTCATAAGATTCAAATGTTCTCAAAGCAAGGAAAACTATGAAAGCAATTATTAGGGTGGAAGTTATGGTAGAAGTTATGCTTTGAACTCCAATATGAAATGAGTCTAAAGCTCGTGTAGGAATCAATTTCCTTTCACTCTTAAAGTGAAACAATTGCTGCTTTTGCATCCTATCTGTGCAAACTAAGTAAAATAGAACTTGTTTCCTTAGAGTGTTGTTTTTCATACTTGTTAATATTAAATTCACTTCTGAATGTTAGCAATTCATTAAATGAGCTTATTACACCACTTCCCAATCCATACGGGAAAGCAGATTTCAAGATACTAACTTTCTGAAGGACTGCTATAACTAAGTATTTGTTGTCTCATTCTGTTGCAAGTTCTCAGGGAAGGCAAACATGTTGAGTTATATCAGAGGAGTCTTACTGCAGGGAATGATTAACTGGCCATTTGTGTTAGGTCACTCAGCAAGTCACACTGAGCTGATGGGAGGCTTAGGAAAATGGGAACCTCTACCCATCCACCCCAAAAAAATAACAAGGAGAAAAAATAAGCTTTTCAATATGGAGTTATGGAGCATCTGCTCTCTAATTATTTACTTAATTAAATAAAATATCCCACCAGGTGTCTCAGGTTTAATATTCATTAATCAGCTTTTACCTGTTATAGATTAATAGGAGCTTCTGGCTATTGGCCAAGCAGTTTGAGCGTACTCTGAAGGCTGCATTAATAAAAGCTGACATGTTGCTTCATGGCTCTCTTTGTGCTTTATTAAGGAGCAGTACAGACCGAGAGCCATTTTTTTTTGCAGTTTGTTCAAGTCTACCTCCCTCCTCTTTATTCGGAAGTCAAAGCAGGAAATGTTAAAACTTACCTAAAATACTGTTTGAAGAAAATACTGTTTAAAGGTGAAATCATTGATGAGGATGTGGATCTCCATCCCTAATCAGTGCTTTTTTGGGTTGTTAGTGAAATTTCAGGTAGGTGCAGGGGTGCTTGGAGTGTTTGGCAGAACAGTCGTCAGGCACAAATCCAGAGATGTTCGGTAAGGTCTTCCAAAATAGAGACAAGTTGCCCTTGGTTTGGGGAGGAGGGGCGCTTGGGGAGTGTGAAGTTTCTTCTGCTCATCCTAAGCCACAAAGAGGTCAGTCATAAGCCTTCATTTTGGTGGCAGTTACCTATTTCCACCATGCTGGTTTCCAACCTTTATGAGTCAAGGACCAAAGAAATGCTGAAGTCAGGCATTTATAAAATTAACATTAGGTTCGTTTTCAAAGTATTACTTCCTTGTTCGGTTCATTTAAAGCTCCCTCTTTCTCCAGGAGTGCCAAAACATACTGCTTAGTAAAGCCTAACAGCCTTTTCCAATGAAGTAATGTTGGGAAACTGATGTGTTGGAAGCACAAAGGTGCATCGTCAGGTGTAGGGTGTTCTTAGCCTTCTGCAGACCCCTTGGTGGGAATAAATGCTGAAAAACAGAGCAGTGTTGGAAAGGGAGCTGTTTCCTTCACCAACCACCTGCAGAAGGTGCTTCCAGGTAAGGTTATGCCAGTGAGGACTTTGCGAGGAACTGTGATTGCACAGACATTTGAGCAGAGAAAGGAAGGTTAATCCTATTAGGGGGTGTCCTCAAGCTTAATGTAGTGTATCTCCTGATGTTTATCTGGAGTTAATTTTGTGTTTGAAGTTTCTGGTTAGCATTAATGTGTCTTCTGCCAGGGTGAGGCTGGCTTAGGGGAGCTCTTCCGGGGTGCCACAGGGGCCCTTCGAAGCCGCTAGGGCCCTGACATTGTGGGTCTGCTAGGGAAAACTAGAGGAACTGTAGTGGAAATGCTCTGTGTGAATTCTGGGTGTAATGATCGTGCTGGTTTCTTTTAATTACTGATAAAACCTTGCACAACCTGTGTGCAAAAACATAAAGATGGTTAAAACAAATCCTGGACTATTAAGACACTCAATCCAGTTCAGTACATTTTGGGAATGGATGCTGAGCACTGCTTGCTGCTGGTCCTCACAGCGTAGCACCTTCCTGGGTTTCACATTTGTTGCTGCTTAAAATGCCTAAATGAAACGCAATAAAAAGTGGCTTCAGAGCTGCTTAGTCATAGATGCTTTCCACACTTAGAAAGCAGATGTATCTCTTCAACGCTGCTTCTTCTTCTTGTAGTATATCAATTTATGCTGTTGATAACAAGTCTCAAAAGAATCTAAATAATGTCACGCACAGGACTCTAACCAACTAACGCTGTCTAATATAGGAGCCCTGTTTTGTTAGCTACCCTTATGGGCAAGCACATACCAAAAAGCTTTTACCATACTACCACAACAGAGCAAGTATTGTGAATACAAATCCTTTCTGAAGCACTGTAAGCATTCCTACTGCTCAACCATGTTTGCTGGCGTTGCAGCTACTCCCCTCGCTCGTGCATGAAGCACAGGGAGTAGGAAGTTCTGTTCTGGGGAATAGGAAGTATATAGTGAAAACCTCAACTATGATTAAGAAACCACATTGTCTTTTGAAGATTTATGATAATACCTAGCACCCTCTTGCAGTTGAAAGAAACTTGCATCTGTTTATAATGAAATTATAATGGAATTGCAATGCCTTTGTGCAAAAGTTAAGCATTGGTAGTGCTGCTGTTTTGCTGTTAGTAACTCAACCGGTGACACAAAGAACTGGAGAGGGCTTGTGTTTTCTGATTCAGCCCTGTTATGAGCGTTAGATCACACTTTTCTCA